CTGCACAGTAGTGGTGTAACTGTTATCTGTGCCATTGCTGTAGTAGGCCTAATTATTGATTGAAAATTTAGTTCTGTACTTTGTTGTGAACTAGGCTAGTTGAACTTGTAATAATATTATACATGATTGTACATCATAATATATACGTAACTATACGTATGTTTTATACATAATTATATAACATAACAGAAATAAACGAAACTGCACATAATATACATGATACACAAGTATATTCTATAGGCTGAACAGAGCGATATTATTACCATTATATATTAGCCCCCTGTTGTGTTGAACACTTATAAGACGAAAGCACTGTGGAATAGATAACTATAAAAGCGATGGTTGAAACGGACGGTAATTTGATTTTTATTAGGTCTACATTTTTACTGGCCTACGTGTGAATCGTAACATTTGTACTTAGTTGCAGGGTTTCTACGTTAACGGCGACACGTCAGCGACAGGCGATTCTGATGACCTTCGTCTCGACGACACAGCTCTAATGGTCGTCGAACATCGTGGCTTCCAGCCAATCTACACTCCATGTGCCACAGTGCTGGCCATCCTCATTCTCGTGAGATTTACTACGTTTACAGCTAAACGCAGGGGTAGAACTTTTGAACAAGGGAGTCCAACGGACTCCCTGCCCTCAAAAAGAGGGAGTCCGCAGCAAAATGAGGGAGTCCGCAGTCTGACGTTCAAAATTAAAGATATTAACAATAACGCGTGTGCTTATTTTGAAGATTCATGCGGTTGCACGTCTGCCAAATTGTCTTTGGACATTTGCTGAAAAAATACGGTAATTCTGTGAGGCCGTGCTCTGGAACGAACTAGTTAGTATATAGCAGAATTTTCAGGGAGTTACACAGACTCCTGCATATGTCAAATTGGGGAGTCCAGCAGTAAATCGGGGAGTATTTGACTCCGGACTCGCGCTAATTTCGCACTGTGTAAACGTGTTTCCTAGCAGGTCTATCAGAGTTCGTGATTGGTGCATTTTATAGGTTCGTGCATGTCTACGGTGATTACTGTGTGACCTCTGCGAGTTCTTAAGAGGATGTTCATGTATTTACCTAAAAAGAAACGTAGCTGAAAAAAATGTTTCTAAATAAATCCCTAAAACTGCGGGGGCTCTAATCGTGGGGCCCATAGCAAACTGCTATTGCTACTTTTGCTACTATCGTTAATAAGGTAACATCATTGATATATATATATATATATATATATATATATATATAT